AGATGAGTATTTGACATTAGCTGCATATAAAATACGTCAAAATTCTACTTCTAGACTCCAGTAAAAAAATCCATATGTATAGGATATTGAAACCGGCCGTTAGCCACGCAACGAATTTTGATACAGTTTTCACTATCGTTTAGAGAATGACTTTGTTTATAGATTATTAGAAACATTAATATTAAATTGCACCCGTGAGAAGCCAGGGCGCGTCGTTAGTAACATGTAAAAAAATATTTTATTATCTTACCTTTGATATTCCGAGATTTATATAGTACTACAGTTGATAATTCATTTGCTGCACTGACGACCATAAAACGTACTTTTTAGCCTATAGCTTTAGAGCACTGCGTTCGATAGAAGATACGAGTAAAAGAGATGGCATAGAACAATAAATAATAACATTATCAATTTGTGCTAACAATATTTTAGAAACGTTTATTTGACAAATTTATTGTAACGTAATTATAACGTTATATACATGCAAAGCTTTGCATAATATCGTTTTGACATATCGTTTCTCTTAAACATAACGTTATCTCGCAGTTGCGCAGATATCGTTACTGAATTTTACCGATATTTAAGTCCCTGGCTCTACCACGTATAAAAGGAAATTACGCATTAAAGAAACACAAACAAAAAAGGGACAAATTAGCATAAAACTGCTACAATTGTTTACTGAGTCGCCTCGGTCTGAGATCCGTTTTCCACAAGATGTAGGCGCTCAATTCGAGCCTCTTAAATACTGCCTTCCCCAACCATTACTAATCCTCCACAATTAGGCTCTCTTCCAACTATATTATATTGAGCGTATCGTTAGTCCTACTTCATAATTTAGACCTCACATCATCTGGTTTAAGACTAAACCTGGACTCGTCAATAAAAAGTACTCTATTCCAAACATCATCAACCCAGTTTCGGTGTGAGCGAGCAAAGTTGGACCGAGACACTCGAGAAACTTCGATTAATAAAGGTCGTCTAATATGTAAGCATGCCGCTATTCCATCCGCTTTGTTCTTTATGTTTTTAGTGCTTTTCGGAGATTAGTTCTTATCACTTTTGATTTCTTAGCACACTTCTATATAAATAAATGAAATTAAAGTGTCTGTTTGTAATGTCAAAATAACAGCTTTTAACTAAATGTATATGAAAGTGTATACGGTACAAAGACATTTAAGTAGTAGTAGTAATTTATTTAAATGTCTTTGATACGGTACTTATAACAAAAATATTTTTTTTAAATTTTTGTCTGTCTGTTTGTTCGTCCGCCTAATCTCCGAAACAGCTGGACCGATTTTGACGGGACTTTCACTGGCAGATAGCTAATGTTATAAAGAGTAACTTAGGCTACTTTTATTTTAGAAAAGGAATAAGGGTTCCGCGCAGAAAAAACACATTCCAATCGTAATAAATTCCAAGCGGGCGAAGTCGCGGGGTACAGCTAGTCTATACAAATAAATAAAATTGAAGTGTCTGTTTATAATGTTAAAATAACTACATTTTACTAAATGCATATGAAAGTACAATACGGTACCAACAAAAAACAATTTTTCAAATTTTTGTCTGTGTCTGTTTGTTCCGGCTAATCTCCGAAACGGTTAGACGATTTAGACGGGACTTTCACTGGCAGGCAGCAGATGTTATAAGGAGTGACTTGGGATAGTTTTATTTTAGAAAAAGAAATAGGGCTCCGTGCAAAAAAATTAAAACCCAAAAAATCGTAGTAAATTCCACTCGGGCGAAGTCGCGAGGAACAGCTAGTCTTATAATAAATCTGTCTTCACCCTGCTGTTACTTTTTAGCGGCCTTGTCTTTTACGTCCCATTCATTCAAATCTGCGAGCATCGTTTAACATTACGGAAAATTACAGAGTTTGGAAACTCAATTGTCAACAACAAAATTCAATTGGCGATCTGACGTATGTGTCAGCCAAACCAAAAAGCTAGTGGGCTTATTGTATTGTATTTAAATGTTGTCATTCCCAAAAGTATGGACGATATGCCTAATAGGTACGAGATTCACCAAACCTTCAAATGACTAATAGATAAGCATATCACCTAGTACTTAGTCTAGCACACGACGCTGTCGAGGTGTGAGCTACGCCTCATTAAAACTCCTGCCAGTCCAATGTGGCTTGGTCCTAACAGTAATAATAGTAGCAGATAGTATAATTATACAAGGTATTGGTATTTAAAAAAGTATAATTATTAACAGCAATTATGCATGTATTAATATTTATTTGGAATGAATATATTCTTTTCTTGGAATAAGAACTATATAAGAAATCGATAAAAAGAATAATAAATATTTAGAGAACAACCTTTATATTGATAACTCAGATCTGCAAAATGGCGTCACTCGTCATTATGAGTGAGTCATCCGTTCATTGAATTAAGAACTTGTATGAGCCCCATCGTTTAAGGTTATGTTTTTATTAATTTACAGTAAAATATGTAGTACAATTAAATATCAAAGCATTTAGAAACAAGCATGGTAGCTATCACCTCATTCCCAGGGGTAATTATCAATCACGTATTCTTAAATATGTAGTCTAATAACCGTTATTGAACTACTTTTGCCTAATAAAAACATTATAATAAATATTTTAAAGATTGGTGGCATATTTTCTGGGACTTTGTTGTAAAGGCTTATCTCATACATATTGACCCATGAAGGAAGTACTTCGGAGTCTGAAGAAGTAACTGGTATTAGCTTGTGCTTCTATTCACACCTATTATTAAATAAACTATTTTTAGTTTTTGTGTTCATAAATTAAATTTTCATATATATGGTATATGTATGCACTGAGAGGCCAAAGTTAATATACTTATTTCATTAAAGAAAATCTCTAAGGGCCCCTTCGAGCTTGGGTTATAAATTGCTATTTAGGCTCTCTTCTGCAAAACAAAGATAGTTTCAATGACAGTCGCATTAACCCACAGCAAAATTCCATACGACAATATGCAATAAATGGGAACATTCATTTGCACACACAAACTATCTCTCACCCTAAACGTACTTCTCCGTTCCATCGTGGATAATAGAAATAGGTAACTAAAAGAAACTACTTAAGTTGTTTAATACATGTAAGGCTTCGGATCTTTAAGTTTACTAGCCAGTTTAGATATATAAGAGCCCCACTGAAGCTATACGTCAACTGTGATTCCAAGTAAAATATTGAATTTTAGAAGACTCAGCTCCTCCCCACTGGTATTCACGTATTTAATACTGGGTATTGTGAATTTAATACATTTCGTTTCATTATCCTTAAAAACAAATGATTGACGTTAAACCATTGTACTAATTTAGACATATATAATATAACATAGCATAATTCACATCGTCATATTTTAACAATTGACATTTGAGTCTGAAACTCGACGAAGTATCATCAACAAATAAAACTATATCATGGTTATTTCCTATCAGGTTAATCATGTCTTTCATATAAACAAAAAATAAGATGGAGCCAAGATTTGAAACCTGAGAAAAACCCATAAATATTACCGACCTGGACTCTACTGCCATTGATAACAATTGTTTGTGTTCTATTATTTAAATATGAGATAATAAGTTTAAGCTCTATGTACTATACGCAATAATGCTGTAGCTTCCTGAATATTTTTTCATTGTAAACGTAGTCGTAAGCCTTGCAAAGGTCACAAATATTCTTAAAGCATCTTCTGAGTTCTCTCATGCTCAGAAAATATGTTTAACCAGCGTCAGGTTTTGAGCGAAACCTTATAAAACTAAACTGATTAGGGGAGCAATTTAATTACATTAAAAAACTTATTATTAGATCTATTTTTTTTTAATTTTCTAATTAGTGTAAAGTAGTACAGAATTAGGTTCAAAATGAGTGGATTCTAATGCACTGCCAGAATTAAATAAAGGTATGATTTAACTATATTTAATTAAATCAAGAAATACATCAGATTCGATACTAGTATGAAAAATAATAGCAAGTTTAAGTGCATCTTTTATTATAGACAACTAACTTTACCGGATAATCTCAATAGATTTTCAATTTTCTTAACATTAATAACGTTGAAATATTTCACAATAAATCCTGATAATACTTTATGAAATTCAAATTCTTTTGTACGGGCATTTAGATACATTTTGTTTGAGTAATGACTCGGCGACAGTAGGGGAAGAAATTCACTAACTTTGTAGTTGAAATCGAAATGTCGGTAAAATATTTCTCAAAAGCAGTTGCCAAATCTTGAGCTGAATTTGTTAGATTTTTGTTAAAATTTAAATAAGTCTGAGTTGTGTAGTTTAATCTTGCCAGGTTTTCTGTTGATGACGCAGAAATAAGAGGAGATTTGTGACCAGTAGTGGGTTAAATTGAAGCTGTCACTTTACTTTTATTTTACCATGTAATGGCAGTGTGGTAAATTCACTACTGCTAATTATCCCGTGGGTGTCGAAGCAACACAGGGAAACAGAAACAGGCGATGGGAAGCAGCATCTTCCTGATTACTTTTGTTTAATATTTTTGAAGACATGTGACCTTACTAGGTAAAGCGATAGCTCTCAGACATCACTGTGAGTTTTAAGGTAAGAAAATACCTGCCGCACTACCAAAATGCGTGCTAGCGAAGTTCACATGTATGACAATGACATTCATTATGAATTCTCAGACATGCAGATTTCCTCACGACGCGTTACTTCACCGTCAAATACTTGGTATAAATCAGCATTAAAAAATCGAATTAACAATTTTATTAATGTTGGCGGGGATTGATGAACCCGGCTAGATCGCGTACTATGAAGTTTACAGTGAGCTTAGCCACCGAGCTATCACGACGTCCTTACTTCCTGATAACAACTTAAAATAATTAAAGACTATGATTGCCAACCTGCCTAAGCGTGGCAGCTATGGCAAATATCCTCTCTGTCAGGAGACCTATGTACAGCAATGGACTTTGATAGGCTGTAATGATGATGATAATGATGATTTACTTTTATACTAAATTTATTTTAATTATTTCCAGATATCAAGTGTAGAAATAGTCGAAGCATGCATTCGACGTATCAAAGATGTTAACTCTGTGGTGAATTGTTTCGTGGAGGATCGTTTTACAATGGCCCTTAAAGAGGCTAGAGAAGCCGATGAACTTGTTCGTTCCGGGCAGATGAACACAAAGCAGTTGGCACAAGAGAAGCCTTTTCTAGGCGTTCCCTTTACTACTAAAGATTGTATCGCAGTGAAAGGTAAGATGTTGCATTATTAGATACGTTCGTTAATAGTATAAGTACAGGTTGCCCTTAAATGTGAAGAATCTCTGTAAGATTTTTTGAATTTGCAAGTTTCAAAACTTTAATGCATAACAATCACATGACTGCGCCATTGACGGTTTATCGTAGTAGAATAGTCAATACGGTAACAAGTAAGGGACAAGTATTTGGATGGCCACAGTAACCTACAATAATTGTTTTGGGCTTGGGTGTATGTCCAGGTACAATTTATTCCAATGTGTTTAAAATGCTTTAAAATGCCTCCACCGAGAGAAATTAACAAGAGAAAGTCCTACTGGGGAAGAACTTGAATTTTATTTTCAAGATAATGGACTTTACCTATTATACTGAATGTACCTAATATGTAAAGTAAAACCAGGCTCCGTAAGGTGCACTCATTGATGAAACTCGTACATCACAATTGACATCACTCTATAATTACTATTTTCAATGATATTGGCAGATACATTTACTACAAACTACTCATGCCCAATCAAAGTCGAGATAATATCAGGATTGTATGATTTGATTTATAAGATGTGCAATATTATCATTGCCGAGTATTGCCTACTAAAAAGGAATAACATAATGTAATGTAAATTAGTCGTGGGTCATGAAGTCTTTTATGAGTAATCGGTTATATATTTATCAAATTAATTTTTCCTTCATATATTATTCATGCTTAGGACTGGCTAAAAAATTGATTTTAATGAAATTGTGTAAATTTTGAAAATGTTAAGTCAAAACACTAAAGAGTTGCTATATCCTTACACGCCGCGCCATTCGTTCCACAAAACTGCGTACGTAAAATTATCGTTATATCGAAACAACGAATACAATTATCAGCCTGATAAGCAGTTCCTGAAACAGATTACGTTAAATAATATCTACCTCTATCGTGAATAATTTTTTATAGAATAAGGGTGACAAACGAGCGCACAGTCCACCTGATGGTAAGTAGATGCTGTGACCCATAGACATCTACATTTATCCTCAATTCAGAATCAAAATGCAGATGCGTTGTCTCTACACTCACCATATGAAACACAGCAGTATTTTAGATTATAATATTCATGGAAAAAAAGAGCAGTCATCATTTGATAATAGTATTAATATGGAAAAATTTAAACAGTTTAAATTTACAGGCCTACATCAGACATCGGGCGTCGTATTGCGTAAGGATTTCATCGCCGAAGAAGATGCTGACGTCATAAAGCGATTGCGAGACAAAGGAGCCATCATTATTGGACTTACAAACGTTCCTGAACTCTGCATGTGGTATTTATAATGTATTTTATATTGTTTTCTCAAAAATGCTAAAATTAACTAACCGAACTCTTCCTCACATTCGAGTAAACGCCACCTGTAAACATTTAAGGCGCTAGGTACGAGACATGGGCCATACATAAGCATATCCTATAATTTATACTCTTTTACTCGTCTTTAATTGGTAAATTAATCGACGGTTCCCCCACTTTCCAAACAAAACACTGCAGTGCAAGAAAAACCTTAGTCCTTACCAGGTGAGATGATCCATTCGTGATGGCTGCTGCCATAATACAGCTGGAGCGTGGCTTATATAGTAGGCGGTAAATACATAAATGTTACATGTTTCCCAAGTGTAAAACACATCTGCATGCGATGCACGCTCTTCACTTGTAATTGTACTCAGTTTTATTTTATGGAATAGGGTGACAAACGAGCACACATTCTACCTGATGGTAAGTGATTACTGAGGCCCATAGACATTTACATTTATCCTCAACTAAGAATCAAAATGCTGATGCGTTGATGATACTGATTCCGACCTCTGATGACTAAGATGGAATGCCTCGTTTCCAGTAAAAAGGGTCTCCGGTTCTCTACACTCACCATACAAAACACAGCAGCATGAAGCTGCTATTTTACACTGGTATTCTGTGAGAGCGTGGTCCTACCCCGGTCAAGTCGACCCATTCGTGCTGCAACCATAATATAACTGCAGCGTGGCTCTACCACGTATAAAAATCCGTGCTGTTGATTGACGGACAAGATTCTGGCGATTGACTAATGACTGTAAATCCATCTGAATACGTTAAATTGAACTCAAAGTTCAGATTAGAGACACGGAACGGCAATACCATCCGACGTGTTATTTTTTTGTAGAATAAGGGTGACAAACGAGCACACAGTCCACCAGATGGTAAATTGATGCTGTGGGTCATAGACATCTACATTTATTTTCGATTAAGATGTTTTCGACGCGATGTCCTTAACCTTTTGAAAGAACACGTAAATACATTCTATTGGCACAAACATAATACCGGTAAATTATATGTTATGTACCTACTTAATGAATTACAAAATGCAAATCATTATTGTAGGAATAAAACACTTGTGTTCATAAATATCTATAGGTAATATAAAAATCTATTATATAAAAATGAATCGCTGAATGTGTTGCTAAGCGCAAATCTCGAGAGCAGCTGAACCGATTTCGCTAATTCTTTTTTATAATATTCCTTGAAGTACGAAGATGGTTATTACGGAGAAAATTTTAAAAAATTGCCTGATCAAATCTGAAAACAACACTTTTCTATTTTCCCATACAAAAGATTCGTAATAATACTTAAAAGTCAATTTAAACTTTAATACCATACCAGAAATTTTAAGTGTTAGTAGAGGGGCTCCGGGAAGACAAAAAAATTAAGTGACGTTAGTATCATATAAATATTAATGTCAATATTTGTCAATATTTATACACACTGGCAGATAGCTGATGTTATAAGGAGTAACTTTGGCTGCTTTTATTTTGGGGTTCCGCGAAAAATAACTCCACGCGGGCGAAGTCGCGGGGATCAGCTAGTCTTACATAAAAAATATTATTTTTCTTAGATGTCTCCCCAAGAAAAATAAACCAACTAAAATAAGATAAAAAACATTAATCTAATTTCTCTTTTACTATATAAGTGCTTTATAAATGTGGTGGAGATGGTTTAAGCTTAGTGAATAGCATGCTTTTTAAAAATAATAGAGCTATATTAAAACAAAAATTAAATGACGTAGGCTTGTCAACTCTACAAAAATCATTTGCGAGATTGTCTACAGTTATATTTGGAACATTTTAGTTATATTTTTTACGTGGTAGAGCCATGCTGCGACTATATTAGTAGAATAGTTGTAGCACGAATGGGTCGGCTCGACCGGGGAAGGACCACGCTCTCACAGAATACCAGCGTAAAATAGCAGCTTAACACTGCTGAGTATTTCGTATGGTGAGTGTAGAGAACCGGAGACCCATTTTACTAGAAAAGAGGCATTCCATCTTAGTTCTCACGGGTGACGACGCATCTGCATTTTGATTTTTTATTGAGGATAAATGTAGATGTCTATGGGTCACAGCAACCACTTACCATCAGGTGGACTGTGTGCTCGTTTGTCACCCTATCCTATAAAAAAAAAACAAGCATATTTCATGAGACACATTAGTAATTGTAGGGTGTAGGTGTAGATCAAATTTGGAACAAAGCCAAATATTTTTAACAATAAAATATCATTATAGCAAAGAATCGTACAAAGTTTAATTTTTTTATATTAATATGAAAACAGTTATAAAACACACTTTGGATCTTTTTTTTAAGTTTTCAGAATTATTATAATTCTTATAATGAGACGATTGACTGTTCAATTATTTTCGAGGCATTAAAAGTCCCGTAAGGGCGCTTGTTGAGACATTCAAATAATAAATATCCAGATGCGGAACGTCCGGGAAAATCCGGGACAATTGGCAAGCCTAACTTTAAAGTTAGGTGCTGAATTAGAATGAATCACCAATGTTGTACTGTTTTAAAAAGTCTATTCAAAGTATTTCACTAGACGTATACATACAGGATGTAATTTGTTTTAAATTTTTATCGACATGTATGTCGATAAATATATGTATCTATGTATATTACAAAAATTATTAATTTATGACATATTTACGTCGGTTTTAAATGACTTTTACTGTCGTCCAGATCGATTCTCTACATAATGTAGGCCATGGTAGCGCGCAAGGGCTGGGTTATCAACTTCATAGCCGAGTTCGATCCCCAGAGTCGTCAGTGTCGTGTAAAAAATTGTAAATCTAAAAAAGTTCTAATTTACCATAGGTATAATATGATGTATCCACTAGTATTACTACAGTGTAATTTACGTATATATTATATAAAAAAATCAGATTTCAATACTCTCCAAGGGCTATTAAAAATTACTATTTCTTTTAAATTTAAACTAGTTCATAAAACCATTATTATATAGTTATGTATTATAGGAAGGCTAAGTTGTGTGTCATCATTGTTGCCTGTTCTTTTTTTGTATTCATTATTACTTCAGGTGGGAGACTCACAATCATATACACGGAAGAACTAAAAATCCTTATAATACTACAAGAATAGTTGGTGGGTCATCAGGAGGCGAAGGTTGCATGCAAGCTGTCGCAGGCAGTATATTTGGAATTGGTATGTTTCGTCATTAATAAACGTATTTCTTCTCTATTATACAAAGTGAGATTAATTCATTTATTACAGTCTATAAATAGTTAACTGCTAAACACAGGCCTGCCCCATAGATTGCCCCAGAACACTGCTGCCAGTCTCCGGTTTCATTACCTCTTCACCTCTTACGACTCCCGCGGGATACGGTAGTGGACTTTCTTTCGCCACCACCGCACGGTACAATGCTTAGTTTACTTAACATGCAGATAAAAGTATTGACGGCCATCGAATAAATCCGCGGTAGGGATCTATTGGCAGTAAATGGAAAACTATTTTAAAATAAACAAGAAAATTAAGAGCATTGTTAAACTTAGATTAATTTCTCCAAATTAATCCGATAGATAGCGTGTATGCTAGATGTAAACCCCTTAGTAATGAGAAAACGAGGCGATTAAGCCTTACTATTTCCTACAAAGAGAGAGGCCTATGTCTAGGAAGGGACTGTTACGGGTAGTTGAAAAAGTAGTCTTACAAAAACTATGGGAACAAAGTTGACGAATGTTGAACGAATAGTACGCATCCAGCATCGAATTTACACGTGAATCTTAATTCAAAATATTATGGGCATACTATATTTTTATTATTAGTAGTAAAAAGCAAAAGGCGTGGGTGTGGGAGTGTCCTGTGATAATGATTATGTACATATGTGAAACGTTTCAACAATAAACGATGTCCTAGTGTGAGGTTAGCTTTTTTACAGTCTTAAGATAAGCAAGGAATTGAATGCCATCTTGTTACACACCCGAACTTGGCCCCCTTTTTATTTTTATGACTTTGGTGCGATTTTTATACACGATTTGTGAATATAGCAATGATACTCAATTGATCCTATATTTTTAGAAATCGCTCCTACTTAATAATTGTTTTTATAGGTTCGGATATTGGAGGTTCTATCAGGATGCCGGCATATTTCAATGGCATTTTCGGACACAAGCCATCTAGGAATATAGTTTCAAATAAAGGGCAATATCCAGCACCCAAATCTGAATTGCATAACTCTTTCTTGGGCAAGTATATTATTTGACACAAATATTATGTATTAATAAATGTATTTTTATAATGTTTGACTTTCTATTTAGAAGTTGCAGTGATCGGTCCGATTTTACGAATATTTTTTTGTCATATCTCCAGGTTTTTAAGCCTTTGGAGATCGAACAGTATTCGCCTCGCGTATCTTGTGAACAAAACAAGATAACGATTTCAGACCAGTTTCATATGACTCATAATTGCGTCATAGAGAGCTCATAACAGATTTTTATTAAATTTGATTTTGTTTTGTTTTTATAAAACTAAAGTGACTGAGAAACTTACAGTTCACTTGATGCTGCTGCAGTCCATTGACACCTAAAACCAACTTTAATCAAACAAGGCTACAGATGCGTTATCACCTCTGATGACTAAGATGAAATGACTCTCAGTTTGTTATATACTGCATCTCTATAACCTTTAGACCGAAACAAAGCAGTGTAAGCATTGCTATTTGGCGGCATATATAATAGGTGAGAGGTTGTACCTAAGCAGGCGGACTCCTAGGCAGAAAACGTCCTGCCACCTACACCTGTTTTTTTTTGTATTAACTAATAAATATTTAAAATTATGATACCTACTTAGATAGAGTCAAGGATTCATGTATAATTGCAACGGCATTGTCAAAGCGTCTTAAGTAGATTGGTTATTAAATGGAATGTTGGAAGTTTTGGGTAGACTAGTCTCACCCAACCTCTTTTAATCTTCATTTCTTTATCATCATTGTAATGTATTTTTTGTTCAGGTATTGGTCCCATGACGCGACACGCGGTCGATTTGGAGCCTCTTTTAGAAATAATGGCTGGAGAAAATTGCACAAAACTTAATTTAAATCAGAAAGTTGACATTGAAAAGCTCAAAGTTTTCTACCAATACAGCAACGAAGCTCCCCTAACGGATCCCGTCGATCCTGAAATTATTGGAGCAATGAAAAAAGTAGTGGAGTTCCTTCATGTTAAATATAAAGTACAACCCGAAGAAATAAAGATCGATCAATTAAAGAAATCTGTGCCTATCTGGTTCGCGACGATGAAACAGGAGAAAAAGTTTGGGCATTTTATAATGGAATCTGATAGTGTATCATCTATTTTGAAGGAAATTTTTAAAAATATCATTGGATGCTCTGGAAATACCTTTATTGGTCTTATTACAGCATTGTTTGACTACAGCGGGACCCAATTTGGTAGTGAGAAATACAAACACTTCCTAAAAAAACGCGACGATTTGGAAAAAACTTTTAAAGATATTCTTGGCGACAATGGTGTTCTCTTGTATCCTACACACCCAACTACAGCTCCATATCATAATGAACCCTTGGTAAAAGCAATGAATTTTTGCTATACTGCCATTATTAACTGCCTTGGTTTACCATCAACCACCGTACCTCTGGGGCTCAGTAAAGAAGGTCTACCAATCGGAATACAAGTGATAGCTAATCATAATAATGATAGATTGTGCTTAGCTGTAGCTAAAGAACTTGACAACGCATTTGGAGGATGGATAGAACCTGGAAAGATCTAAAGAAATTATCTTGCGAAACAAACGATTCTAGATTAAGTGATACAGAATGTAATTCAATGTTTATTTTGAAATAAATTTATATTTAAATTAACTAGCCTTATTTCAAAATTATTACCTATGCAAATTTTCTGACACTCATTTTATTATAATTTTCACATATCAATACAGAATTTACGTGTAATGTTCAGAATATCTACAAATATAATGTAATCGTATAACATACAAATATACACAAAGTTTAGCCTATGGATTGGCAAATTCGAAAAAACCTTCTTACCTCAGCGCACGTGCGTGTGTGTGTTGTGTGAGAATGTGTGCGTGGGTGTTGCAGCCATAATATACTATTACGTGGCTCTATTATGTAGGTAATACCTTGAACTTTAACATTTTTGTAGTAAATTGTACTACAATTATATAAGTCACGTTATTTGACGGCTCCGTAGCGCAGTAGCTTAGCAACGAGTTGCATTGCAGGGAGACGCGGATTCGAATCCCGCAACTAGTCTAGTCTACAAATAATTGTTCTGGGTCGGGATAATTTACTCTGTGAAATTTATTTATGTAAACTGCCTCCACGATAAAGGAGAAAATACTTTTTTTATAGGAGAGGGGGCAAACGAACATGCGGCTCACCTGATGGTAAGTGACTACCGCCGCCCATGAACAACTGCAACACCAGGGGAATTGCAGATGCGTTGCCGGCCTTTTAAAAAGGATTAGGCTCTTTTCTTAAAGGTCCATAAGTCGTATCGGTCCGAAAAAATCGCTGGTGGTTTTTCGATTCCACAAGGAAGTTGTGCGAGGGAGAAAACTTCTAAATCGCACAGTGGTGGACCGCCAATTATCCAGATGGTATGGATGGTATCGAGAGTTTTGTCGCGATGTGCGATGGTGAAATTGAGCGGCTGGAATTAGTCTGAACAATTCCTCAGAGCACTCCCCGTGATAGATGCGATAAAATACGCAAAGAGATGCAACATCTCTACGCAGTGCCAGTGAGTCAAGTCTTTTGGAAATAACTCTGTCTTCGACGATTAGAACCGCTCTGCGCTGGATGCGGTCAAGTGGAAGGAGCTGGCACTGGGGAGCCCCGGCCCAGAGATGGGAACAGTATTCCATGTGAGGCCGAACCTGCGCCTTGTAAAGTTGCAAGCGGGTACTAGAGGGTAACGTTTTAAAAATTATATATAAAAAAGAAAAATTATCTCAGCTCATTAGAGAAAATGCAACAAATTTAAGATTTGCTGCATTTTCAGTTTTGAGGTCTACTGGACTCTAATGGATCTCAATACTTTATAAACATAAGCATGTTGCGGTTAATGACTCACAGAAACGAAATGTGATCCTTCACTGCTGGCCATAATAGGAATCCCAGTCTCTCGACGAGCTATGGAGAGGGCTATACTTGGAGTATCTCTATATGATGAAATATGTACGGAGGATATTAGATATATATTAGACAAGTTATTGAATCAATAGAATATAATTTTTTTATTCAATATAGATCACAAGTAATTCTTATTTTTGTTCGTAGTTTTGAAAAAATCTTCTTGGTTTGGAAAGAAACCCAGAAAAAGACACACAACAAATGTAGTGTAAAGTTACATCTATACATATTGTTCAGTAATAAACCGCAACTCACAAAATTTATACCGAGGCACAATGATCTGCTACGATCGGAGCGCCGGTCACACCTAGTGGCAACATTGCGACGTAATATGCGTTGTAATAATCTGTGGAGTTAAAAAAAAGAGAAGAGGAGGGTAGGAGGCGAGACAAGCCATACACATTCTCTTTGTGTTCGTGATGTGAACATCTCTCCAAAAACTTAAAAAAAGGGACTACTCCAGAGTGTACCGTGTACAATCTAATTGCTAGTGTATTCTACCGTGTAGAAGAAGCTACCAGGAGCTGTCAACGTTTGCTGATCTTGGGAGGCTGGCTAGTAAGACCGTGAGTAGTTTGTTGCTGTTTTTGGTGTGATTTTGTGACTGCGGTAACTGAACGTTTCAGGGGATTTAGATTCTCAATACAGTCCACTATATCTAGTAAAATAATCCCAATCCGCCACATTTCTGGTCCTTCGAGCCGGATATATTCGAATTAGTGATCTTCGAATAATAATTTTCTACCCTTAATTCGCGTCCCGTGGACGTCATATATTTGAGTAAAACTACGCATTTAATTAATTTAATATCCCTTATTTAATTTGCCTCTTTTTTACCTGGATGTCCATTGCTCGCGGTGCGTTTATAAAGTATTAATTTTGTAATTTGTTCATAATGTCGGATAAATTACAAATAAAAAGGCAAACACTTATTTTTAAAAAGGAATACCTATTTGCTAAATTACAAAAGGTTTTCGATATCGCGAGATCCCAAATAAATGATCCCACACAAATTCAGAATTTCTTAGCCGATTATTCCGAATTAGAAAGTGTCCGCTCAAAGTTTGAAGAAACAGTGTTAAATATTATTGAAATAGATATATCATTAAAACCGGAGACAAGATTGTCAACGCGAGAATTAGATACATTTGATGAACTTTATAAGGCATGTAGGTTGCAATATTTAAGATTAAAACCGGACGAGCAGGCATCCCTCAGTAGGAAAGATAGGAGTGATGTAAGGCCGTCATTACCTAAATTACGTTTATTTGAATTCGATGGTGATATTGAGAAGTGGACCACATTCTACGATACATTTGTATCACTTGTCCACAATCGAGATTTCGACGAAATAGATAAGTTTCACTATTTGCTTTCATGTGTTAAAGGTTCGGCATTAAACATTGTTAAAAAATTGCCCATAACAGCCGCTAATTATACTGTCGTATGGCAAAGTTTATCCCCTTGTCTGTGCGTCGACCAGCAGTCGGCACGTCAAATTATTTGCGCGTCTGTGAGCCGACCAGCAGTCGGCATCGTTTCCTGTTTATGTTTTCGCGCTCTTTACGACGGAACTACGATGCGTTTTTTAGGTGCGACACTTGAAATCATAGACTAATAATATATACTCAGTGTCAAACTGCTTTACTGTTACTCTTTGCTCCGTAAAAAAAAAATATCGGCACTTCAAATTGGACGCTGTCAAACCAACCGACTCCGGTTTTGTCACGCCTTTGATAAGTTTTCTTGAATCAAATTTGTTGTGATTTGAAGGAGAAACCATGGAAAGGTAAGTACTTTCACATTTTTATTACTGGGAAACATATAATTTTGCTAATTTAATTGTAAAAACCAGGCCAAACCAACGACATAGCCGTCTAACGAACTATGAACGTACTTTTATTTCTGCAATATTTGGTCTAAAAAGTGAATGAAACCGTAATGTTTTGGAGAATTTAAGCTACTAATGTAATTAATTTGCAATGGATGACAATGGTAAACGTGTATTTAGCTTTGAAAACTTTAATTTTGGGTCTAAATACGTGAAGGTTATTTCTTTACCGTCAGTCGGCAGGGGCACAGACAGGGTTTTGGCAGTTGATGACGTCATAACGGCGGCATGTCGGGCATGCTAGAAATTATAGATACGCTTTTGTATTTTCTGTTTGAAGTTATTTTTAAATATTTTGCATGTAATGTTACATCACTTTTAATTGCATAAACATTTAGTTACTGTGGAGATATAGTGGAAGTTGCATACTTTTTTGTAGTATGTCATTTCTGTATGCTTTGTATGGTGTGCAATAAAGAATATTAAATAAATAAAATAAATAAATATAAAATATGGGAGCGAAAAAACTTAGCAGAATTTTTGTAATTTTTTATTTTTTATGTTTGCATCATGTAGAGGGCGCATATACTAACACTTTTTGTCGTAAAAAGTTTTGGGCTTGGATGAACCTGAGCAAAGATATTTAGGTATTTGAAGTACCAAGTAGGTACCAAGATAAAAATACAGCATTTTTGTTTCTTTTTTCTTCGTTTGCGTCGTGTCGGGGGGGCACCCAAACAAACAATTTTTTCCTGAACAATTTTGGACTTAGACGAACCTGGGCCGAGATAAAGGCATTTGAAGAGCGTCCAAGCCCAAAATTGTTTGGGACAAAAAGTGTTTGTTGCACGATGATAAATTTAAAAATAAATAATTTTATTTTTAACTTTGACAACCAATTTTTTTTTCAAAAAATTTCTCCAAAAATAATATTTACATATTTTCTAGACGTCTTATAGTAAGTTAAAAAAGTTACGCATGGACATTACTAAATTAGCTCTAAGGGCACCTTTTGCATTCATGTCTCGCGTATCTCTTGCATTTTTGTGTTTATTTTCTCTTTGGTTTGCATGCTTTTTGTTTTTGCTTTTTTCTTTAAAGAGGTGGACGTGGTCGTGCTCGTGGCCGTGGGCGTGGGCGTGGTGCGTACGCTGGTGGTGAAGGGGCGCATGCGCACACTGGTGGTGAAGGGGCGCATGCGCACACTGGTGGTGAAGGGGCGCATACGCACACTGGTGGTGAAGGGGCGCATGCGCACACTGGTGGTGCGCGGACGCGTGGTGGGCCCACTAGCGGTGCTGGCCACACCGAAAGGCCTTCTGCTGTTGATCCGTAATAACAAATTTAACAACTAACAAGTTTCTTCGTTTTTTTTAGCAACATTAATATTCTGCATTAATATTTTAGAGTTTACTGTGGCATGGTGGGGGAGTTGCCGGTGGGGAGGCCTCTAGAGCGGCCGCTGACTCAGCGGCGACCTCGAGTACTGCCTGCCGCAAGGCGAGGGTAAGCACTTCGAAGTTGGTTTTGTTACTCGATTCACGTGCAGGGCATTGAATTTAACTTTCTTTTTAGTCCCGTGCCGGTGTCGTTGTAGTCGTCCATGGACCTCCTCACCGGCAACCACCCGACCCAGCCGCTGAGCCCTCAGGAGGACCGAGCTGCAGCGGCCCAACCAGCAGTAGTTGATATGGAGCTTTGCTCAGTTCCTTCACCTGCTTTGTAAGTTTTTACTTATATTCATATTTTGAAGCTAAACTTTTCGTAACTGGTCATAAAATA